AGAAATAAAACAAAATGTTCTTTCTTTATCTTTCTGGCATCGCCATGCTTTTTTTTTTTTTTTAAACCAAGGCCTAGTTTCACTCTCAGCATCTACTCCGTGGGTCAGTACTCCTCTTGCTTACAAAGCACTTCCTTTGACAATTGAACAAACCTATTTGGTAAATTAGAATGCATTCTAGCAACTTTGAACACATTTGTTCCAATGAATGGGTTTATGGGAAGTGTGCATCCCCCTTTGGAGTTTTTGGTTATCAAGTTGTTGAGGAAATAAACATTCTGACATTAAGTCAGCTAGAATTGTTACTGCTTTTAATGTCCAATTATGCAATCATGTGTTAAATGACTGCTTGTGTGCTTGTCGCTGAGGGAAATTGAATGACTAAATGTATATGTTACCTTCAAACATTTATGAAGGCAGTTACAGATTACGTTGATGCCCCTTGCATCACAAACTCACATTACTACTATCTGTGCAGCACTGAGGTCTCCATGTTTACTGTACACAACAGAATAGTTGGAATGCACTACGTAACAGTAGAACGTTTGCTTGGACAAGATGATGGTTCTAGCTATGGAGAACCCTTGAATTATTATGGTTCCAGGTTGAAAAGCATTCAGGGGTCCGTTGGCAGCTTCAGATTTTTCAATTTGATTTGTAACTAAAAAGTTTGTATAGCTGCTTTAAGGAGATTGTACAGAAACATTCATTATGGTTTTAGTTGTCCAAGTTACTGGCTGACCCAGTCAACATGTGGTGATGAGCTAAAACCCCCAGAAGAACAAGATTAGGGATTTATGTCCTTTGGTTTGTTGGTGCTAGCATGCATCTGCCCACATTAAAGCACATAAAAATAAAATAATAATTTTCATGGGATTTCCTCTTATAAAAAAAAATCTTGGTTAACTTGCAGATGATAAAGAAATGAAATTTCTAAAACCCTACATTGCATTGAACAGAATGTTTTGCTTTATCTGGTTTTAAACTAACTACTAAAAAAATCTATAATTTTCCTCTGAAAATGTGCAGTTTGTTAACTTTGCATCATGTTGAAGTTAAAAAATATTATTTTCCACACTTAAATTGCACTTTGTAACAATATATTTTTTTTTATAAAAGTGAACTTTGATCCAACCATTATTTAAACAGGTAACCCCATGGCTTGAAGAAACTTCTTTTACTAATGCCACAAGATGACACTTTCAGGCTGTACTTTCTTTAAAAGTGTCTAATTTGCAAATATCTCGATGTAGAGTTTTTGAATTTTTGTGTGGACAAATTTACCACTTAAAAAATGTCATATACTGTGTAGTCCCTCAATACTTTGCGGTTCAACTTTCGCGGACTCACTCTTTTGCGGGTTTTCAATGTAAGATTGTACACAACACACCATTGGTATGGTGAAAGACAGCCCCCAGCTTCGCCCCGTCCTTTCTCTTTCTGAGGCTCATGTCTGCTCTGCTGTGACAGACAGCCTCAGAAAGAGAAAGTAGGGACAGGGTGGGGTCTTTCTTTCCCCATCGTTACTGCTCAGGGAGCAGAGAGAGAGAGAGTGGCTTTGTGTGGCTCGCTCAGGTATAAGACGGACCCCCCTCCTTTCTCTTTCTGAAGCTGTGTGTCTGTGCTACTGTGACATACAGCCTCAGAAAGAGAAAGGAGGGGATGGGGTGGGGTCTGTCCCCATCGCTACTGCTCAGGGAGCAGAGAGAGAGAGAGAGTGTGGCAGTTTGCGGCTCGCTCAGGTATAAGACAGACCCCCCCTGCCCCCTCCTTTCTCTTTCTGAGTCAGCAGACAGCAGAGTAGAGACACGTAACAGGCGGGCGCGCAAAAGACAACCTCAGAAAAAGGAGGGGGCGGAGGGGTCTGTTTTATACCTGAGTGAGCTGCACGAGTGGCATGAATTATTTCAAATAATCTAGCGCGACCTGAACTGAGCCTTTCTCTCTTTCACCGTGCTCTTTTAGAGCTTTTAGAGAGTTTAGAACATTGAAAGAATGTGGGAAGGGTTTATAAAGCCTTAAAATATATTTAAATACTAAAATAAATATAACATCCCTACTTTGCGGATTTTCACCTATCGCGGAGAGGTGTGGAACGTTGGAACCCCTGCGATAAGTGAGGGACTACTGTATAATAAAGTATAACCCTGAAGATGGAGGGACAAGGCTAGTTTTTGTATTTTGAATATAATTGTGATCATTTAGCTGAGTTGCCCTTGTTGACCTGTTTAAAGCATTTAGCATTTATAACAAAACAACTTTATATTAATGTATCATGGCTCATAAATGCTTCCAAGATAAATGGTAATATAAAGTGACTGGAGTTTGAATTTACTTCCTCATGATACAATTAGTTTGATAGCACAAACAATAAAACAGAAATCAGAAGAGCTGCTTTGTTACAATTCAGACTATGACATATTGTTGTTGACAAATGATGTTGCTCTCACCATGTGGGCGGCCATCATGTGGAAAAAATATATTAGGAAGGAAATCATTTTCAATGAGCAAACATCAACCATATGTGGATGCAGGGCTAAAACTGAGCAAAAAAAATAAAATAAATAGGTGTATGTTTGTTTAAATGTAGTCACAGATTAAAATTTCTTGTAATGAAACGTAAATGTTCCCTAGCACCCAACCCGTACTGTCCTCTGACAGCTGGTGGCCTTCCAATGTGAATTTACAGACATGTCAGCTTAGAGCTACATCTCCTATTGTCAGTGCTTGACTTGGAAAATGAATGATTTAATGAGTTTTCCTGTTCAGTCATGAGTGTAATTGACTCAAATGATCCAGTTCCCTTCTTGGATCAAAGCCACAGCGGTGTTGTTTTAATCCCCCCCCCCTCCTCTGGAGATGGGAGCAGTAAGGTTTTACCTTTTCATTGGAAAACCTGGACTCAGATGCACTGTGGTTGGGCTTCAAGTCACTCCTCTTTAAAGGTTGACAGTTGCCTGAAGTTTTTTTTATATTAAAGTTTTGAGTTTCTAATTTTGGTCAAGACTTTTAATTGGCTGTTGAGATCCCACTTTTCACATTCTTGACAGGGCTTGTATTTGATTTGAAGTATTACAATAAATATTCACATTCTGTTTTGCCTTTATTTTATTTTTTAGAACTGGTGCAATTGTTTTAATGCTTGGAAATGGAAGTGAATGATTTGAACAACCGATGGACCTTTATAGGCTTCTTCCTGCTTCACTGAGCAGCTGATTGGCCATTAAGTAGCTTGATTGACTATCTCTAAAACGCCTTTTAAGGAAATCTTTGTTTTGCAGCACTTGTATTGCCTTTTAATTGACTCATTAAATAATTATGTTTTGCTTTAGTCCGCTTCACTTTAATATGAATAATGCCAAGCAAGAGTTCTACTACTAAAGTTCTCTTTGCTCTGGTTCAATCACTGGATTAGTCATGAAAGATGCAAACAAATTAACAGCACTCATCATCTGTTAATGTGCATCACTTGATCACTTCAATGTGACGACTTCTCAACAGAGATGCATTTGTTGACGGTTGACATTTAAAAGTTTTTTTTGTTAATTGTGCAATTGAATTGTAATTTTTTGTGCAACTCCACACATCGTATTTGTAAAAAATTGAATAACCTAAATGCATTGTTTTGCATTTTTCTTACAACAGTCGAGTTGCAGCAGTGTAATGATCACCACTTGTTTTCCTGCAGTCTTAAAAAAATGGAAAGAACTCAACCCGAGGTCTTGACTTTAGACGGCTCAGGTTGTTTGAGCAGGTAGTGATACTATCAAGGGTCAGACTGAAAGAGATTTATAATTAATACCATCTGAAATGTAAGGAAAGCTAATTGCTAACCATATTTTCTTCAGTCTGTCAAACAATCTATATATTGTTTTAAATCCGTTAAGCAACTTAGTTTGTTTATTACTCTATATTTCAGATACATTTTCAGCTCCTTGCTTTAGTTGTAGCTCCTCCACCTTGTCAGTTTTCCGTAAGTAATCCGATCACACAGTTGAACTGTCCCAGCAGCTTAGTTTCTCAGTCGAGTGTAACTCAAGTCAGAACATGTGAACTTCAGTCAGACCAGAACTGTTCAGTTTATTCAGCAGCGATGTGACGCCACACAACTGATGCTTCAGACTCGTTAAGTTTTAAAGCTTTTAATCAGTAGCCCTTTAGCAGTGCTTTAATATGCATGTCAAATTGTTTCTTTTATACGTTCAGTACATGATAAAGTTAGTCATGCATTAGGTTTGTGCAACAATAAATACACACTAACAAACTACAGGCTGTCATAGATATTATGACATTTTGTAAGTTGTATAAATTGTTTGCAAAGATATGCAGAAACCTTTAGCACCATCTTCAAAATAAAAGATTATGTATCTCAGTGGCGTCTCTTTTTTTCTAGATTACCTCGTTAATCTGTTTCCTCTGCTAAAGACAACTAACTCGGACTACTTTCCTTAGGGGGAATCAATTATCTCAAGCCTGAGGAAGATGGAACGTGCAGAAGAAACAAGAGTGTGCATCTGTAAGACTTCAGTTCTTTTAAACAAGAAACTGAAATGAAGGGTGCTCTTAAGAAAATAACTTAGATGGTATCTTATGACATGACTTGTTTAAGAGAGGCCTTTAAAATAAAATAAGCACATACATCTGTATGAGCCCCCAGGTTTGGTCTTTAACTCTTCTTGATGGGAAACCGGTTCTACCCATTCGGTGTTTTCTTCCAGTTTTAATGAAACACTCGAGACCAGTTTTGTCAACACTGCCAGCTTCCTTAAAAGCATCAAGGAGACTTGTATTGGGATAATGAGCTGCTTTGGCCTGTTCAATAATTCTCTTGTGCCAAAATGACCCATACTGTTAATTATTTCAGTTGCTTTTTTATATACAGAACTTTTTAACAGTTGTGCTTCTTGGAGGATGTTTTTGCTGCTTTTAACATTCTCCATAGAAACACCACTCAGACTTTAGCTTCTTCCTAAAGTGTCTTTGTCGTCGTGTGTCTTCAGAGATCAGAGCCCAGCTGGTGGAGCAGCAGAAATGTTTGGACCAGCAGACAGAAATGCGAGTCCAGCTGCTGCAGGACCTTCAGGACTTCTTCAGAAAGAAGGCAGAAATTGAGCTGGAGTACTCCAGGAACCTGGAGAAGCTGGCCGAACGCTTCATGGCCAAGACCCGGAGCACCAAGGATCACCAGCAGTACAAGTGAGGAGATGTCTTCCTGTTTTTCTGCTCTCAGTCCATTCCTGTCATTAAAGATGAAAAAAATTTTTTTTTACCACATCTGTGGGGAAAAAAGTTGAATTTGGCACCTATTTATGTGTAAATGTAGTAGTTTTTATGGGGGATAGTGCCCTGAAGTGGGCATGCTTATATGTTACAAGCAAAAACCATGCTACAAGTTTTATTGCACATTTAGAAAGCTGAAGACTATCCAAGCTTTTTGCATTTTGACTGTTTCAATATTGCCCAGTGTTTTTTTTTATTAAATTTTTTTAAATGATCAATCTTTAAAAATTTGACTGCGGTAACAACGCAAAATCAGAACTGCGGAGTGTGTTGCTAATACATTCAAAACAAGTGATAATAATGCATTTGCATCAGAAATCATGTCTTTAGTTTTCACTCTAATCTTGTGTGTGTGTTCAAATTTTACTAAAACTTCACTGAAGTCCAACTGAATGAACTTGAAACAACAAAAACAAACGACATAAATTCAAGTAAAACTTAAGCAGTAAGGTCAAGGGTACCATGCACGACCTGTGCTTTATATAGACTTAATTAATGGCCATTATATAGATGGCTTTTGGAGCTTCAAGTTGTAAGAAAATGCATAGTCAGCAACCCCCTTGAAAATTTCAGTTTTGTCCAGTATGAAGATAATTTATGTGTTTAGGGTGGGACAGCCTCTGCGTTTGACTCTATAAAGTCATGAGGGGGAATGCTGGCCAAGTCTTTTTACTTCAAACAGACTAAAGTGTAAGAACTCCAATTACTACTCACTGGCCAGTCATAGGGTAGATGCTTTTTTGTCTGGTTTTTGCATTTAGACACAAATTCATCTACATAAATCATGTGCTGAGTTTCTATTTCACTTTACTATAAAAGTTACAAGAATAAACTAAACCTTAAATTTAATTTGAAATAGATTAGCCCAGCTGTGGAGGTGTATGAAAGTGGGATAAAGTTAAATTAGATGCGTAAGCAGACTGGTAATGTTCCCTTTATTATTTTTCCCCTTATTTTTTGTTCTTTTTTCCTTCCTCTTTCTATAATCTAACACATAAGTATGCTCATGAAAAACTAGACTTTAAAGTCATAGAAGGAAGAAAAATAAAATAGAAGTTTGCCCTCGTTGTCGGTTACCTGAACTCCATCTGAAACCTGAATGTCTCTAACATCTGTGTGCTCCTGTCTATAACCAGCAGAGAGACTCCATAAAGGCTCTGAGGTTTTCATTGCGTGATGTACTGTCTCGTCACCACATTCACAGGGTCAACGTTTGGCAAGTTGCTATGAACACATTTCTTGAGTAAATATAGGACATTTGGAAAAACATTGAAAACCTTCCATTGTGTTTTAAATCATGCCCCCTCCCCCCCCTTTTTTTTGGTCCTCACATAAAAGACACAGTAAGTCCTTGATATTCTCTGGAGTTATTTTCTTTTTGGCTGATTTGTGTGTGAAAAGGAGTATTTTTATGTATCGTCAAGCTAGTTTCCATATGACAAATTCCCATCACATAACAGCAAAATGCAAAAAGTGGTATTAAAATGAGCAGCTAAAGGTGGCGATTAGTCTAGAGCGGCTGCATTTAAAAATGGCTACTACGGCATCTCATCAAGCTGACCAGAAGTTTATTTTCTTTAAAAACTTTGCTTTAAAAATTGTGCTTTGATTTGCGCCATTTGTGCCATGTGTGTTTTTTGGGACTGTTCTCACTTCTTGATAAACACGTAATTGCTCCTCACATGGGTGTTTGTTTAAACTGCAGCTAGGTAACAAGGTGAAACACAGGTGGAGGTTGGTGCAGTCTATACCATTGTGAGCCCACATTCTCTTTTAATTACCCATCATGCTGACGGAGCTGCGTAATCTTGATATCGCAGTGCCCTGTTTTCTGTTAGCCATAATGTCTCTGGTGTTGCTGTGAAACTGAATTGTTGCTGTTGGAAGGCAGAAAAGAAGATAGATAGCTAGACAACTTTATTAATCCACAGAGGAGAAAATATGTTGTTACATCAGTGGGAACAACACAGTGTAAAACAGGTGCAAAACAACACACTGCAAGACAGACAGGTGCAAAATAACACACTGTAAGACAGACAGGTGCAAAACAACACACAGCAAGACAGACAGGTGCAAAACAACACACTG